TTGTAGTTTGTGGCGATGACATAGTGTGTTTTGCAGAGCTGTGGATGTCGCTGGAGGAGCACCAAGATGCGTTAGAGCTTATCATGAGCAAATACAGAAAGCAGATGTTACAGCTTTTGCAAGGGAGAAAAGGTGAAGATGCAGAACCAGTCTTGAAAGTTCATCAGGCCAATTCCTTGGTAAGGTGGGATGGGGACAGAAGAGGGCTCAAGACCCTTCTTCCCTGTCTCTTGCTTGTTTTCATACAGTCCTTGTTTCTATTTGTGGAACGTCCCTGCTCCAAAATACGTTTTCTGAAACTCTTGTCTCTCTTTGCTGGTATGTTTTTCTCTGTTCCTTTTACAGCACACAGCTTGCAACAGTTATCACAGAGGACACTGAAAAGCATAACACTTTCACAGCCAGGTGAAGGCTTGTTCTTTATGCACTAGGTGGTGAATTCCCCGAGTTAAGCTTAATGCACATAATTCTCTACAATAAAATCAAAGATATCAGAGTTATTATTGTTCCTGTTCAGTAATTGTAACAAAGGGAGAAGAACCTCCTAAATCTGTGCTCTGCAGTATGTTTAATTCTTAAGAAATCATCACTCCTAAATGTTTTTAAATCCGGATACTGTGTGCAATGGCCTAGAAGCGTCCCTTTGTCTGGGTTGGGTGCAGTGATTTCAGAACTCTTAAGGTGTGGCTGCTGATAACTGCTGCTTGTTCTATGTTTGGGTGTCTAATAACAATATCTCTCTATTTCAGGCTTATTAATTAAGTTAGCCATTTGTTAAAATGCATTTTTATGAGATTAGAGAACAGCAAGTTGGTTCAACCTAGTGACATCTCATATCTTGTTGTTTTTTAATTGGAATTGGAGCCAGCCTAACTCTTAGCACATACATCTTTGCACTGGTATGTGGCAACTCGTTAGTTCTGTTTTGTGTTGCTCAGGTACTCTGAAGTTAACTAGTGTAGCAGTCTTGCTTCCAGTGCTGCTTAGGTGCGTGAATTGCCCTGTTTAGCAAGACTTAACAACTTGTAACATTATTCTCAGGCACTGTTCTTGCTCCATTTGAATGGCATGGAAATGCAAAGCTGAAGAGACCCTGGAGGAACCCTTTCATGGAATGTACTTAGACTATCGCAAAATCTTCTGTACTTCAGATTAAGTCCATGAGTTTTTTCCTACCCACCACTGTGAGAATAGTAATATAGTTATTATAACCATCTCTCTGTTTAGAAAACAAAAAAACCCCATCATTCTTACCAGCTTAAGTTATCTAAGTTTTTCTTGTTCCTCTAGCTCTCTTCTAGATGCTCTAATTTGTTTATGTATTTTCTGAATAATGGAATTCAAAACTGAATTTTCTGCTCTGGTGACACATTTACCTTCCAGGGGCAGTGGATTAACTACTGACACTTAGAGAAAAGAAACTCCACCCTATAACATTATCTGATATTCTATGAAGTGCTTATTTTATGTTATGTTAAAATGCTCCAAAAGCTTCCAACTTCTTGTTTTGATGCTTCTTGCCAATTACTGACATTTTTGTGTTTGCACATTTGAGTTCCTCCCTAAATACTTTGAATATTTTGAAAGTGAGTGCTCTTCGAACAGGAACTGTTGCTACATTACATGTTGGAGTTTCTCAGTGTTCATTATATGTGCATTTCTGAGCTTCAACAAAATGCATCTTCCAAAGGGTTAGAGCCGTATCTAGACAGACTCTAAAAGCTGCCTTGGGAGGCTCTGGCCTTATTTATTTTACTTTCCTTGCTTGGCTTCCTTCTGAAATGATGCTGTTTACTTCACAACGTTACAATCTCGTTATATTCGGCATTCTTATAAATTCCGAGTCAGGCTTTTCTAATACAGCAATGTAAAATTTGCAGCATACTAATCATATTCACATGAACCTCAACCTGTTGTCTCAGTCCTTATCACACTTGAAATGATTTCCATCGTATTAAGTAAGGGTGCCTTATCTTGCTGACTGATGTAATTCTAGTCACTGTTTTCATTGATGACTCATGATAAAGGACAATAAGGTACTTGTTTTCATATTTAAATATTATACAAGTTAGAAAGGGTTGCGTGTGCTTGGAAGGAAAGGGTTAAAATTCAAAACAGGAAAAATAATCCAAAATCAAGAAAATGAAAGTAATTGATTCAGAAGGGATAAATTATTACTGCTGCTTTTGCCTGAGTGTACTGAATATATTACTTTTACGTCTTTCAGGACATTGCAAGTCAAATAGACAGAATATGTGAGATGGGAGAGGTGATGAGAAAAGCTATTCAAGTTGATGATGATCAGTTCTTTCAAGTTCAGGAGAAACTAGCTCAGTTGGAGGTAAGAACAGGTACAGTTGCTAAGGATAGATCAAACTTTGGAAGTCTCTGGACTTTCTATGTTTGTATGTGTGAAGGATTTATAACAATCAAAAACGCGGTGGTGAGGTCGGGAATACAGAACACGATCTGTTTATTTTTAGGTTCTTGATGTTTGTATTATATGTATGAAGCCAGAAGCAAAATAGAAGCTTTAAATTACGTGGTTCCCCTCTTGCTAGCACCATATTAATGCTTATGTTACGAAATCAGTGTTTTATTTAGCTGTGAAAGAGTGGGGCTATTTAAAGATTATTGTCCTTTAATTGTGAATTAGCTCATTTCTATTTCAGCAAAACTATTGATTTTGCAGCTTGAAAACAAAGAGCTGCGTGAACTGTTGTCAATCAGCAAAGAATCTTTTGAGGTGGGAAGAGAAGATCTGCCTGACTGTGAAGCTTAGACCACAAAATAACCTTATCTCCACATCTTGACTTCAGAGACTATTATGAAACTACCCTACAAGGATGGGGTTTGATTTGTTCTTTCAGGTGTTTCCTTGTATGTTTATCTTTCGGAATATGTGCGCTGTTTTCTCTGCATTTTTCTGAAATGACATGCTCTTGATGGCAAAGGCTTGCATTGCTGCCCTGTCTTAGTAATTGCAGCGTACAGATGCTTAACAATGAAGTACTTGATGTATACTCCCTTGTGATAGTTTGTTTCCTCTCCCATTTGTTATTTTTTATGAGCTTTAGTTAATGATTCCAAGTGTGCAGGTGGCACCTAAATCTGCCCTGTCAGTAGTTAGATTTTATTTGATAGAAGGAATAAGAGATTATTCAAAAACTACATTGTAAATGGTAGGTGCGTGTTTTGCTCCGCCTGCACAAAGCAGGCACGCAGAGCTTTCCTTTCGCTTTGAAGAGCGACCACTCAGTATTTGGCTGGGTTAACATGGGACAACTGCTTAGAAGCAGATGGAGAGAACAGCAGATAGCCAACAGAGCACTTTAAGTAGTAACTCACAGAGGGAGCATACTTTACCTTGATTTAGGGGTGAAAATCAGAGTGGATGGCCCTTTCTGACACCTGCGCATTTTAAGGACATTCCGTTTCTAAATTTATTTATGGGTAGACCTGTTCTGGCTTTACCAATGCTCTGAGGCACGTGGATCCGGGCTAGCTCTGACCTGAAGGCGGAGCACTCAAACCAGCACAGAACACCGCACTTTCAGATCAAAGCTCTCCGTCCTCCCGCCACTTTGGACTGCAGTAGGAGCGAGCTGAGGTCTGCCTCCGAACTAAACCAAAACCAACCACGTAGACAGGTTTTTAATGTTACATCACAGGTAAGTCAAGTGACAGAGGTTACGTAGTTATTGCAGAATCCTATGTTGAGTAAAATGAGAGTTCCAGTGTAGGAATTGACCAATATTGTGATACTTTTAATGACATTTTTGTATAAAGATTTGTTTTTCTTACCTGTGATCAAAGAATAATCCTCCAAGAACAGTCGACATCTCATTTTCAATATTAGTTTAAATTTTTATGCTATTTTCTCCCCCGAGTTAGAATTTTGTTAGATGCAGAAGGTGATTTACGTTCCTGTGCTTGTTAAGAGACTTTTTCTTGCAACCATTTGGAATATCCAGCAAGATTGTTTGGTAGATACATGGGATTTCTGTACAGGAATGTTCTTGTATACAATCCTTTTCTATTAGAAATTGTTTGAGAGGGAATAAAAAAACCCCGTGGGCAGTATTTTCTCAAGTGTGTTCTGTTCTGTGGATCCTGGGGATAATTCCATCCGTTCTGTGTGCACTCAAGTCGTTCACACCCCCTCTAATTTTTATCTTGCCCCAATGAAAAATTACTATGACCCCAAAATGTTGTGTTTTATCCCTTTTAAGTTAACATAATCTGAAATGCCTGCGAAGCTGCATTTTTACATTGGTTATTCTAGCGTAGGTTAACATTCCTCTGAAAAAGCGGAAAGTAAACAGCCATTGCTTTGACTACTGAGCTTATTATTCATTAGTAGTTGGCCATAATTAGCAGGGGAATATTAAATACGTTCCATTTGCTCCTGTTCCGGATCCGTGTGCGGGGAACGCGCGAGGGTTGCACTGACGTGGCTGGCGGGGCCGCCGCGGAACTCGCTC